CAACAGGGACCTGGGAATCAAGAGACCTGAATTCTGTTCTCGCAAATGCCAGAGGGCAGACAAACCCAGGTTTGAGCAATTCCCAAAACCCAAGCAGATTGCTACCAATCACCCCACTAACAAGACCTTCTATATGGGGACCCCACTTAGAAGGACAGATCAGACCAGGATCAGAGGCTGCTGACCCTCAGCCCTTCCAGGGGCTCTGCTGAGTGGCTCCAGTCATACAGTCCAACTCACCAAGAGAGCAGGGCCGGCTATCACGTTCGTCAGGACAGGCACATACGAAGTCCGAGGCTCTGGCAAAGCAGAGGTGGGTGCAGCCACCATTGTTCACGCCACAGGCATTGGTCCCTAGAGGCAAAGTAGATGAGTGTCTTATCTGGGACACAATCAGGTCTCCCAATTTAAGGCTTCTCAAACACAGGAAATCCAGGATTACCCTACTCCCAGGGACAGGGGAGCAGGAGATATACAACTGTGAGGGAGTAAAAAGGTCTAAGCGTTTAAAATGTGAACCAAGAAGCTCTCTTGTGGCCCTCTCTTGGTCCCTAAGAGTCCTTGGGGTGACAGACCAATCCCACAGATGTTAAGGAAGCAGGCTCAGTACCCGGGAGCCCACCTGTCTGCCGCTGAGGGGAAACCACGATGATATCCATGAGTCCTTCCACATTTGCCAGCACTGTCTCCTTGTTCCGGCCTGAGTATTTGTCAACACGCTGGATTGACTTGGTCTGCCAGTCTGTCCAGTAGATCCACCTGTCTTGCTACTCAACAGGAGAAGCCCACAAACAGTAAATGTTATTCAGCAAGCAGACTCCTTCTTGTACAGCTTCTATGCCTCACCATTGGCCACTACCTCTGCTGAAATGCCCTCTTCATCTCTTCCTCATTTCTGTGCATCCCCAGACATGACACTGTCAAGGAAATCTCCCCAAATCCATATAGACTTCACCATTCTCTCCTCTATGCAGTTCTGCACCTTGTAGTCACTTGCCCAAGTGCGTTTTTATACTCAAGCAATTTGTTTACAGGTCTGTCCATCCTAACAGATTAGTTCTTCAAGGACAAGAATGTGTTCCATTCATCTCTGAATTTCTGGCACCTAACACTCAGTCCCCATTCAGTTGATTGAATGGCTCCCTCTCTAGCAAATAGGAGGAAATTTGAAGGTTATTCTAGGTTCCTCTGGGCCCTTTGCTCAGAGCACTGCCCCAAATCCTCTGCTTACTTCTGTAGGCAGCTTTCTTCTAATGCAATGATGGTGAAATTCTCAGCCAAGGGTAGGGAGGGGCAATGAAGGTGTTCTCATCCCCATCCAAGGGTATATATCAGAAACTGTGGGGAAACCTGTAGATTGAAAAACCTATATGCAGTATTACCCTGTGGTTTTACATTTAGAATATGAAAAAAAAGCCTATCATTAAGTAACACCAGATAAAATCTTTTTGGCTAGGCCAGGCGCGGTGGCTTACGCCTGTAATGCCAGCACTTTGGGAGGCCAAGGCAGGTGGATCACGAGGTCAGGAGTTTGAAACCAGCCTGACCAACATGGTGAAACCCTGTCTCTACTAAAAGTACAAAAATTAGCCAGGTGTGGTGGCGCATGCCTGTAATCCCAGCTACTTGGGAGGCTGAGGCAGGAGAATCGCTTGAATCCAGGAAGCGGAGGTCGCAGTGAGCCGAGATCATGCCACCGCACTCCAGCCTGGGCAACAGAGACTCTGAAAAAAAAAAAAAAAAAAAAATTAGCCAGGTGTGGTGGCGCATGCCTGTAATCCCAGCTACTTGGGAGGCTGAGGCAGGAGAATCGCTTGAATCCAGGAAGCGGAGGTCGCAGTGAGCCGAGATCATGCCACCGCACTCCAGCCTGTGCCACACAGCAAGACTTCATCTTAAAAACAACAACAACAACAGCAACAAAAATCTTTTTGGCTAGTAGAACATAATACAGAATACAGACAGAGTTGATAATATTTGGCAAAAAAGGGTCAAATTTATTTCTCTTTCCTTTCTTTCCTTTCTTCTTTCCTTTCTGTCTCTCTCTCTCTCTCTGACTCTCTCCTCTCCGAGATAGCATCTTGCTCTGTTGCCCAAGTTGGAGCACAGTGGTACAAACGTAGCTCACTGCAGCTCAACCTCCTGGGCTCAAGTGATCCTTCTGCCTCAGCTTTCTGAGTAGCTGAGACTACAGGTGTGTACCACCACACCTGGCTAATTTAACAAAAAGTTTTGTAAAGACAGGGTCTCGCCATGTTGCCCAGTCTGGTCTCAAACTCCTGGGCTCAACTGATACTCTAGCCTCAGCCAGGGTGCTGGGATTACAGGCATAAGCCACTACACCTGGCCAAGATTTTTAAATGATTGAGAATTCCTGTTTTGGCCTCAGGCCTGGTAGATCTTCTTTTCCTTGCCCAAATTATTTTTGTGTTAGAACTCAAAAGTGACAGCTAATAATAATTAAAATGGGTAGCGATAACGTGCGCGTGGTGCTTACTGTGTGCCAGGTACTATACTAATGCTTTGTGTCTGTTTCAGGAGGATACTATTATTAGGCTGATTTATTTTGTAGGTAACTGAAGCTGAGAGAGGTTCAGTCACTCCGGTTCAAAGTTACCCAGTTATTTAATAATACAGATAAAACTTGAACCCAGGTACCTGGCACATTGATGGTACTCATTAAATACTTACAAACTGGCTAGATGCCTCAAAACTCTGGCTTTTAGTCACTCCACTCTGTTGCCACTAAGTGAGCTCCCTAAGCCCAGATGCTGGGACCACAGCATTAGGATTAACTGGGGAACTTGTCAAAATGGATTTTACTGTGCCCAGCCCTCATGAAGCTGCTTCTCTATAACCTCTATAGTCACGGCCTAGGAACCTGCCTTTTAACAAGTGCCACATCTGATTCTGTATACCACTCTCTGAGAGCCACGCCTTTGAATGCTAGAACATGGGAATGGCAGGATAGGAGTATGAAGGCACTGGGTGGCCCTAGCAACCTACCAAGGCTTCAGGGCACAGGAAAAATCCCTAAAATGAGCTTCAATAGCATGTCTGTTCAGTAGCAGCTACAGCTGAGACTGCTGACTTAGAACCCCAAAGAAACATCCCAGGCAAGGAGGTTAGTTACCTCTCTCCTGAGCCAGTACCTGTGTGAGGGCAAAGGGGTGGGACACATGGCTGACCAAGACCTGCCGCAGTTTCCCGTTGAGGTCAGCACTCTCGATCCGGTCCAGATGGGCGTCTACCCAGTAGATCCTGCGAAGAAAACGAAAAGAGTGGCTGCTCCAAATGCTTGCCAGGAAGCCCAGCTCTTCCCCCTAAGAACCTATCTGTCACCTCCTGAGCTGACTAGCAGGTGCTATGAGAACTCAAGAAGCACCCTTAATGAGGAGTCACTGTGAGTCCCAAAGCTGAAGAGGGGAGCTGGTGGTTCATGAGTGGGGAGGTCAGGGCTGCTCTGGGGAGGCGTAGAGTGACCTCAGAGGAACCACCACCCAGCTTCATCTTCTGGAATTTGATTGCCCTTTGACTCCTACTCAAGAATCAAAGCCCAAATTCTTTTTTTTTTTTTTTTTTTTTGAGACGGAGTCTCGCTCTGTCGCCCAGGCTGGAGTGCAGTGGCCGGATCTCAGCTCATTGCAAGCTCTGCCTCCCGGGTTCACGCCATTCTCCGGCCTCAGCCTCCCGAGTAGCTGGGACTACAGGCGCCCGCCACCTCGCCCGGCTAGTTTTTTGTATTTCTTAATAGAGACGGGGTTTCACCGTGTTAGCCAGGATGGTCTCGATCTCCTGACCTCGTGATCCGCCCGTCTCGGCCTCCCAAAGTGCTGGGATTACAGGCTTGAGCCACCGCGCCCGGCCAGCCCAAATTCTTACAAATGGTCTTTAAGAGAGCTCAGTTGGCCGGGCATGGTGGCTCACACTTGTAATCCCAGCACTTTGGGAGGCTGAGGCGGGGGATCACTTGAGGTCAGGAGTTCAAGACCAGCCTGGCCAACATGGTGAAACCCCGTCTCTGCTAAAAATACAAAAATTAGGCAGGCATGGTGGCACGTGCCTGTAGTCCTAGCTACTTGGGAGGCTGCGGCACGAGAATTGCTTGAACCCAGGAGATGGAGGTTGCAATGAGCCGAGATCATGCGACTGCACTCCAGTCTGGGCAAAAGAGTGAGACTGTCTCAAAAAAAAAAAGAAGTGAGCTCAGTCTACATGGACCTCACTGAGGTTAAAAGAAGAAGGCATTCTACCACTGTTCCAGAAGTCTTGGATTCCCTTCCGCTTCTTTTGGGTCAGAAGGGGGCATAGACTTCTTCAGAGCCCCTTCCCCCTGCCCTCAGCATTTCTAGACAAGTAGTTGTACATTCTGGAGCCTGGGTCAGGCATGGTGGCTCACGCCTGAAATCCCAGCACTTTGGGAAGCCAAGGCAGTAGGATTGCTTGAGTCCAGGAGTTCAAAACCAGTCTGGGCAACATAGCAAGACGCTGTCTCTACAAAAAATTTAGAAATTAGCTGGGCATAGCTGGGCATGGTGGTGTGTGCCTATAGTCCCTGCTACTTGAGAGGCTGAGGTGAGAGGATGGCTTGAGCCAGGGAGGTTCAGGCTGCAGAGAGCTGTGACTGCACCACTGCACTCCAGCCTGGGCAACAGAGCAAGATGCTGTCTCAACAACAACAAAGTTCCAGAGCCTGAAGGGATCAGGATTTGTTATATTATAACAAATACAAGAATCAGCCCTTAAATGAGTAGGGGTGTGAGACCTGTGGTCCAGCCAGAAGACATGCTCTGCCAAAGGTACTCAAATTAGGAACATGTAAACCAGTCAAACGAGACCCACCTAAGGGTTGAGGGCTGGATTTAGCAATCGCTGCTCTAAGAATACATTCCCTCATCCTTCTCAATGGTTCCTCTTCCCCACATACCAAGAAGCTTTCTATCTTTTCATTTTTCCATTTTAATCTCAACCATTCTCTCTTCTGCCCACCCGATCTCCAGGAGGCTGTTTGGTGCAGGACTCCCACCTGCGGGTATCATAGTCCAGGGTGAGGCCGTTGGGCCAGCCCAGGTCTGTGTTGATGAGGACCTTCCGCTCAGAACCGTCCAGGTTCGCTCGTTCGATCTTGGCAATGTGGCCCCAGTCTGTCCAGAAGAGGTACCTGAGACACAACAGCGCCATCATCATCAAGGCAAGGGAAGATGGCACCCAGAGGTTGAGAGAACACAGAAGGTAACACCATCTTTTCCACCCAGCCCTTCTTCCCTGGATCTCTCTTCTGCTGGCCATAAACTTACCCCTTCCTGGGGAAAACAGCAATGGCCCGGGGCTCATCCAGGCTATTGTTGATCAGCACTTTGCGGCAGGAACCATCCAGCCTGGATGCCTCAATGGTATTTCGACCTGTGTCTGTCCAGTACAGGTTCCTGGCCACCCAGTCCACTGCCAGCCCATCAGTGGTCTTCAGCCCACGCCCGATCACTGTCTCCATGTTGCTGCCATTCAGGTCTGCTCGCCTTGGGGAGAGCCCAGTGTTGGATGAGCAACCAGACTGCCCCAGAATAGAGTAGAACTCCTTTAACCCATGTTCCCATAACTGGACCCCCACTGAACTGTAAGCTCCACAGGGACAGAGACCAAGTATCTGTGAGTACATTCCTCAGCACCCAGCATGATAAATGCTCGATAAAATAATTGCAGAATGAATGAACCAGTTCTTAGGAGGATAGAGTATTTCCTGCTAACTGGAAATAGTGGCGGCTGCCAGGGAATGTCTTGCTAGAAGACAGGTTTATCATTCCCCACATATCTTTGGGAAGAGACAAGGATTGTTAGGTGGTGATGATAAAAAATACAGATTTGTCAAAACCTACCTGTGAATTTTTTAAAAGTTAAAAATAATTTTAAATACAAGTAGATATGAGGTTTCATTATGTTGCCTAGGCTGGTCTTAAACTCCTGGGCTCAAGCAATCTTCCCGCCTTGGCCTCCCAAAGTGCTGAGATTACAGGTGTAAGCCACTATGCCCAACCCTATCTGTGCACTTTTGCAGAGGCCCTACAGGCAGGAGGGAACTCTACCTCAGAATGGGGAGCATGTCACTGTCACCTGGGGGACTTCCCGAAATTGCATATGCCTACCTGTCCCCAGCTTGAGATTCTAATACATCCCTTGGGGAGAGTAAAGAGGAATGTTCGCTGTTCCTCCCTGTGAGAATCTCTGCCATGGGAAACCACTCTTACTGGTAGCAGGGCATCATATTCCTAAGCTTTGTTAGGGCCACAGATTTAAAGAATAAAAATAAAACAACAAAAAAATAAAAAACAACAGCTTTGTAAACCACCATACGCCTTGGCATTTGGCTGGGGCTCCTTTCCTGCAATACAGATACTGGTAATATGGCCTACTCATCAGTAAGTCCTCGGGGATTCTTGGAGCTCCCTCAGGGCACAATGGTAGATGTGAAAGGCTCCAGGTCCCCACCCTGACTTTACCCATTTTTTATTGTTGTTGTTTGTTTTACATACTAGGCTTCCATGTAATCTCTAAACAAACAAAAGTTTGAAACTCTGCTCTAAGTGACAACACTACAAAGTGAACAAGTCAGGATTAGAACTCGCTATCCAAAGTGCCGAATCACTCATCCATTTAGCGGTCAGAACATAACCTCACCCATGGGCGATCGGAAGCAAATCTGTGTCCTCTGGAGGTTTCAGTGTTGCTCATACCTGATAACATCCAGGAACACATCTGTGTAATAGACCTTTCCATCCACGCTGTCATAGTCCAGGGAGATGACATTGTTGAGCTCAGGGACAGGGACGTGCACATCGGTGTGGTCACTGGTGTCCAGTGAGATACGCCGGATGGAGCCACGGCTGGAGAAGAGCAGGTAGGTCTCAGGAGAGGGATCACAGGTCTTCCCATCTCCCTTCAGCTGGATGCCAGTGGGGCAGGCACAGGAGAAGCCAGAAGGCCGAGGCAAGCAGAGGTGGGAGCAGCCGCCATTTCTCGAGCCACACTTGTTAAAACCTGATGATGAGAAGCAGAAGTGTTCACACCTAGCCTGGAACATCATCTGAATCTTACAAAGGTCCCAGTGGCTTGTGGCTGACTCTTTGCTGTTCTAAGTGACAGGATTCAGTGCCTGGCGGGGTGAGGCAGGAGGGTCTGCAGGAGGATCTCCAGGAGTCCTCTGAAGGTGACAGCTGCAGTACCAGCCATACCCAAAGAGAACACAGCCCAATCCTGAAAGGGAGCTTCAACAGGTCACTGTCTGTCTGGCTGTAAAGGAGCTCTGTGCTCTGGATATATCTCTGATGTTGAGACGGCCCCAGAAAGCCAGAGGCTCTGACTCACAGCCCCAGCCCTCTGACTCTCACCTAGTGGCTGTGCCCGGTCCACAGCCTGGATGTCCATGAGGCCTGGCAGGTTGGACCTCACGAGGATAACATTGCTGCCGGTACCCTTGTCGGCACGGTGGATGCTCCGGGTCTGCCAGTCAGTCCAGTATATATGGGAGTCGAGGAGGGTGAGGCCATATGGGTGCTGCACCGGTGACACCAACGTATGCCGATTGGCACCATTCAGGTCAGCAGCCTCAATTCGCTGCAGAGGAAGGAGAGGGTGGGGGGTGGTGATCAGCAGATAGGGAACTCTCCGTGGAGATCTGAGGCAGGCCTTTCCCATCTTCCCAGGCTCCTAGGAAGCAGCAAGGGCACGGCTCTCACCTCGGTGTGGGCATCGGCCCACAGCAGTTGGGAGCTGGCCTTGTCCACAGTCAGTCCATTGGGCCATCCTAGGTTGTTGCTGATGAGCACTGTGCGGTCTGAGCCATCCATTCCGGACCGCTCTAACTTGGCATTCTCCCCCCAGTCTGTCCAGTACATAAACCTGAGTGAGGAAGAATATTAGCTATATTAGCTAGTTATTCCAGCAGCTACCACATACCATGAGTACTTAACAGTATGTCAGATACACTTGAGTACTTATAGTATGTCAGGCAAAATTTTTGCTTGACAAAATGCTTTGCAAAATATTTCATGTGCATTATCTCAATCTTCATAAGGGCGACAAGGTATGTATTTTCACTACCACCTCCATTTAATAGATAGGTAAGGAAGCTGAGAATCAGAGAGGTTAAATACTGGACCCAAGTGATATAGTTAACACATGATGAAAACATTTCAATCCTGGGATTCTGATTCCAAGGCTCATGCTTCTAACTTCTACACTGTACTGTCACCCTGCGAGAAGTCACAAGAGAGTGGAAGAGCCCCAAGGAGGTCACCTTGTTCCTGTGATGCAAGCTTGCTCTCTGCTACCCACCTTCACCCCATCATAACCCCAGCTGAGCTAGCCCCCCACACTACCCAGTGTGATACAGCCAGCTCTCACCCCATCTCATGGTACAGTACGATTGCCCGGGGACTGTCAAGGTTCTGCCACACCAACACTTTCCGCATGGACCCGTCCAGGTTGCCCACTTCAATCCGGTTTGTTCCCGTGTCTGTCCAGTACACTTTCCGGCCAATGGCATCCACCGCGAGCCCATCTGTGGTCTGTAGCCCTGTGGGAAGTCAAAAGAGCACACTGGCTCCTATTTTAAAACAGATGGGCTATTTCCCCAGTCCCGTTGCCAGACAGGTGGTCCCTGGGCTGGGAGGAAGTTCCCACCTGTGGTGATGATGTCCTCGTGCTGTGAACCGTCCAGACTGGCACGGCTGATCCTGTGCAGTGTGCTGTCAGACCAGTACACTTTTCCTGGAGAGGGAAAGCTTGGCTCAACCAAGACCCTCACCCCCTACAATGGGACACACACAGCTGATTTGTGTCCTGAAACACCAGAGCATGTCAGAGAGCCCTGGAGCCTCTAGCAGAGGAAATCAAGGAAAATGCAGAAATATCATAGCAGGATAGCTCCTGGCAGAGATGGAGGGAAGAGGGCCCCAAACCATGCTCTCACAACCAAAGAGAAAATGCTAGAGAGACAGGGACAGGGGCTATGCCAGAGGGTATGGGAAACCCCCGGCTCTTGGCAGGAGACAAAGGTGGTGGGAGAGGAAGGACAGTAATTGCTGAAGGGCAGGGACAGAAGGCCAGGTGGGAAGGGAGGGCCACACAGACCTTCCTGCGGGTCTACTCCAATGGCAATGGTGTTCTTCATGGTAATGTTGATTGGTACCACCACATCAGCAAAATAAGGGATGTCCAGGGAGACCATGCGAATGTCTATCCTCCTGGCGAAGATGAGGAAACTGTTCATGCCTGCCAGGTGGAGAGGAGGGAAGAGATCACTTGAGCACAGCCATTAAGTGGATTTGGAATCAGGCAAACTGAAATTCATGCCCTGTCCCTGCTAGTTTCTAGCTATGTTATTCTAGGCAAGATATTTAAATTATTATTATTTTTTGAGACAGGGTCTTGCTGTGTCACCCAGGCTGGAGTGCAGTGGCATGATCATGGCTTACTGCAGCCTTGACCTCCTGAGCTCAAGCGATCCTCCCACCTCAGCCCCCTGAATAGCTGGGACTACAGGCACATGCCACCATGCCCAGTGAATTTTTGTATTTTTTGTAGAGATGGGGTTTCATCATATTGCCGAGGCTGGTCTCAAACTCCTGGGCTCAAGTATCTGCCCACCTCAGCCTCCCAAAGTGCTGGGATTACAGGCGTGAGGCACCACTCTCAGCCTAAATTATTAAGCCTCAGTTTTCTTATCTATAAAATGGGGACAATAATAGGGTGGCTGTAAGGGTTAAAAGATCATGTACACAAAGCACTTACCATTAGGTCTCACACATATTCATAAATAATGCCTCTTTATTAACATTATGAAAGTGGCTCTCTTTGATGGACCCTTTACCATGAAGATTAAGAAAGAGAAAAAAAGAAAGGGAATAAAGGGACCCCAGTGGGCTCTACTCACAACCTGGGAGGCACAGTTCACAGCTCCTTTCTCACTCAAATTCCCAGGGAGGTTAGAGTTCAAGTGCAGCCTGCCCTGCAGCATCTCCTAGGGAGAAACCTTGAATCCCAACATCTGGGTAGCCAGGTACTGCTTCTGGGACCCTCCAATAAGGCTGTCACATAGGTTGTGTGCTCACAAAAGTGGCACATCTAAGGGGGAGGGTACCATGACATTGTAGATATCATACATCT